TGTACATACAGTCTATCATTGGAGTCCTATAACAGTACAGTTACATACGTCTGAGCACAAGATATAACGTGGGATTGGATGTGATGTAGTTCTTATTGTCGCAAAAAAAGCCTTATTGTTCACTTTGTCATATTTATTTCATATGATTTTTTAAGATATTTATTATTCTATTTTGTTACTTTTTATGTTCGTTTTTAATCTATTTATTTGCGATGTCTACCAACTATAACCGATAAGATGTTGTGTACCTGTTTCTTTGGCGAGCCAATGTTAAAGTATGATATTGTCACTGTTTGTTTTTTTATTTTCGATGGTCTGTTTTGGTGCTTTTTTATTTGCTTTATTATGATAAAGTATGCCCTCTGTGTAGGGTGCTATTTGATACTGATTACTGATGTCCGACTAGTTAGCTAGAGATGTGCATTAGAGGAGACCTAGTTTAAGTTTACAGTGATGCCCTTTTGATGCCCCCCCCCCACTCTCCACCTCCATAGCAACAGCAGCGGTGTGATTGATCACCGCAACAGAGGTATGGTCCGCCCCTCCGTGATACGTTTAAGGGCATCAGAGAATTACATATAGAGAGCAGATTCGTTGACTAAAACCTCAGACAAGCTGTTGGTATTAAGATTCCTGGAAAGCACATAGTAGCAGGTGTATTTTTGAAAGAGAATGGGACAGCTACATGCACCCTCTAAAGTTATTGTTTATATCTGAAATTATTCTGATATGAAATTGTGTGGTCCAGAAGTCTTGACAGTGTGTGACATATATGAAATATGTTATTCCTTCGATTTCTAATGATTATTGTGTCAAGAGAAATATAAAGGCACTCACATGAAACATAATATGACGTGTTGAGGGCCAGCTCTGATGACTCACCCCCTCACTTATGTACCTGTTCTTTCCTTTCAAACCATGGATGTAGATATTGTATCTTGACTTTGTATTAAAAGCAGGATGATTGGATATAGCGCACAATGAGCTGTTTGATTTTTGTGTTACTTTCCTTCTTTTTTTTTCCTTCATTGCCCACGAGATGGGACCAAAGTTACTCTAAACTCAAATGCACTACTGTCACTGAATGTAGCTTTAACTAAATGCATTATAAACAAGGCTTGAAATTAAATACTTATGCCTTTCTTTTAAGCATGAGTATTAATTAAGACAGTTGAATGCTGGTTTGGAGCTACACAAAGAGATGGCATTAATTTATTCTGTAACTCCATTTGTAGCATTATAGCATAGTAATATATGAACAAGGCAAAATAATGAAGTGTTCATGCCATATAGGAAGAATGGTAGGGCCAGTAAATATGTACATGTTAAAGCATACTGAGACTGTAAGGATTTAAATAATGTATTGGAATTACAATGTAAATACAAAATAGACACACTACACAAATATGTAATAACTTCCCTGGTCTCCTACTGCTTATAATACAATACTTATTGAAAAGAGATTATTTTTTTTTATTTTTTTTTAATACTTTATTTTTAATTTGTAGACAATACAGAGGAAAAAAACAAAAAACAAACAAGTAACATACAACATACAGGTCACTGGGGTAATACATCATCAACATGTTCTCAGCAATTATTCTTGTGATATGGGAAGATCTCCCTCACAACGGGTTCACAACCAATCTGGTTGTGAAGATTTTTTTTTTAATGAAAATTAGCACAAGGACTGTAAGCAGCTGCAAGCATTCACTCTTTCTCTAAGGCCACGTTTACACGGAGATGAAAACGAACCTTAGTCGATATCAAAAAAGTCTTCCGTCCACACATAATCGGCTCAAGAAACGTGTCCGTCCACACGAGACCGCTGGAGATGCAGTAGTACATATGCCGGGCCTGTAAGTGGCGCTGTACTTCCGCCTCAAAATACACCAAAAGCAGCGAAGAAGACCCCCCCGATCTGCAGCTCTGCCCGATCTGCAGTGCGCATGTGCAAGATGGTCCGCCATATTGGACAACTCCGTACGGCAACCCAAGAAGGACACTTGACACAGTGGCACATAGTTGTTATTTATCAACAAGAGGTGTTATAGTCTGTGTTGTTTTGTGCGGGGTCTAAAGGTATTCTGATTCTGATCGCAAAAACCAAGCCAATACTATGCTGCGTTCATGGAGCTACGTGGAAATGGGGAAGGACAATGCTTGATTGCGGATTAGTAATTTCACATTCTAGCACAGTTTATTGATCTTATACCTTGATGCTTGACTACGATGCTCAACAGCTCGCTTAACGGAACTTTGACGCTGGTATTAGTTTACCACCAATCACGGGAGTATTGTGTATAGAAAGTATTGAGTTATATTTCTCGCGCTACCTAATATCCATGAAGGCAACATGACAGAGGGAGGCCTGCCACCAACCTGCCACTCAGGATGCCAAACTACTCTTTGCTAAGCCCCGCCCCCTCAAGCAACATCAGGGTCAAAAGTCTGAAAGCGGAAAAAAGATCTGAAAGCGAAAAAAAAAGATCTGAAAGCGTAAAAACGATCTGAAGGTGAAAAGCAATGTGAAACCTGAAAAAACAAGATTTGAAACTGAAAAAATAATTGTTTTGAATCTGAAAACGAAAAATCTTCAACGGAAAAAAATAAGGATTCAAATATCAAAATATGTATAAAAGTGAAATCTGAAAATAAATATTTTACTCAAAAGAATTGCTGAACTGAATCAAAATAATATTCAACCTGAAAAATGATTTCAAATACTTATTTTTATTTTGAATACATCATTGTATTTTCAAAGTTCAGGATAAAAACTTGAACTTTCAAATACATTTTATTTTTTTGAATTATCAAAACTTATGACCCTGAAATAGCTCCATATAAGGGCCGCAAAAAGAGGAGGTGGGGGCCGCATGCGGCCCGTGGGCCGCCATTTGCCCATCCCTGTCGTAGATGTAACCAACGATAGCCTTGTAGTCGGCCAGAACCAGCCATTTCCTCGTGCAGAAAGAAGACAATCTCCTCCAAGTCCATTTGGTTCTTTCTTCGAAATAATAGACATAGTTTCTTGCACAACCTTTTCAAAGTTCTAATACTTATGATAATCTGATGCTGATGTGCCAAAAGATTAAGTATTTTGTTATTTGAGAAACCTTAACTAAAGAACTGCTTCACAAGATGCTCCACATTCCTCATTTTATGTTGTCTGTTGTCTCCTTCTCAAGTCACTTATGAAACTACGACTTTAATCTCGTAATTATTACTTTATTCTCGTAACATTACGACTTTATTCTCGTAATATTACGACTTTATTCTCGTAACTATGACTTTATTCTCGAAATCTCTCTGTTTTTTTTCTTCTAAGTGTGGCCCTCCGTCGTGCTAAGAAGTCTGAGCATGTGTTGCATTTATTTCATATAGCCTTGTTTGCCAAGGACCAACACAATTCTTTTTTTTGCTTACCTAAATCCTACTGGCCCACATTAAGTGTTTCCGGCCCAGCCCAGCACAGCCCAGTGAGGTGTGGCCCACTGGGCTGTGCTGGGCCGTTTTGATAGGCTACCTTTGTTCTATCTATCAGTGTCCGGTGCCTTGCTCAAGGGCACCACGGCAGGTCAGGAGGTGAACTGGGACCTCTCCAAGTAGAAGTCCACACTCCAAATGTAGGTCTGGTCGGGGACTTGAACCGGCGACCCTACGGCTCACAGTCCAAGCCCCTACTGACTGCCATAGATTTAGTCCCTAATTTAAAGTGCACCAGATTGATGCATTTAACTTCAACATTTAAAAAAATATCTTCCCGGGGAAGCTTGCCCCCGGACCCCCCTAGAGGAGGTGAGGTCCACCACCTACCCACACCCCCTGTTAAATTGTCTCACCCACATTGAGGATGCTTCCTACGCCCATTTTTTATTCCATGTGTCAAGTCAGGCAAATTGGGTCCAAATGTTATTGCATCTATGATCTGTTAACATTCAAATCACTAAATATATGCTGTAACTATTTTGCTCTAGGCAACTCAAGGGCTCAGGTAATGTGATTACTATATGAATAATCCAAAATAACATTAAATGTAAAAAAAAGTAACATACTTTTGTCGCCGGCCGGCCGATATATGCCGCGCATTAAGTGGGCCTGTCTGTCAATTAATCCCCGGGCCACTTTTTCCCCCCAGTCCGCCCCTGCTGCCATCCATGGAGAACCTTTACTCCCAGTGGCTCAGGAAGAACTCCCTCAGGATTATAAAAGACCCCCATCACCTCAGCCACAAACTGTTCAGTCTGCTGCCGTCTGGCAGGCGGTACCGCAGCATCCGGACAAAAACAACCAGATTCAGAGACAGCTTCATCCCGCAGGCAATAAGACTGTTAAACAACTGCTGAAACAATTTCATAACATTCATCTGCTACTTAGTAATTATTTATCTATTATCTTATATATCATTCCAATAACTTGTATATAGACTCGTATTGCACTATTCCACTTTTTTTTCCTCCCTTTTTTAAAACTATTTTTCTTTTTGTAGGCTATTACTTTTAATATAGTATATTTTAATATTGTTTTAATATTGTCTGCTTATCTGTATTATTGTGTTGCATTGTTGGAGAAGCCTGTGACCTAAGATTTTCAACGACATAATTACTCTGTAGCTATGTTAGTTTGACAATAAAGAACCTTGAACAGTTTTTGCTAGGTCATGCCGTGTGATACATCAAAGCATCATTCCTCCTGTGATCTGTATCTGTGCAGGCTGAGCAGGTTAGCTGTCAGGAGACATTGTTGTGGCTGTGATGACGCTCTCTGCATACCTGTGGGCATGTGCTTACAGGTGTGCGTCTTTGTGTCAAGAAGTCAGGGTAAGTAGCACCACCCATAGCACCTTTCCATGAGGAACAAAAAAGGTGAGGCCTCTTAACCATACCTTCATCGATTGGTTACGTTTCTGTGAGAATCCCCACCCCTCACAGCTGGTTGGTAGACTTAACAGTACGAGGCCATTCTTAAAAGTAGGATGTCATCACCTTTTGTTTCTTTACTCCTAGGAAACAAAGCTTAGAATCTCACTTCAATTAGTTTTTAAAAGAGGGAGAGGCAAAGACAATAGGGAAAGTATTTCACTGCGTCTGTGCATGTGCTTGAATCTGTGCAAGTGTGCAAGTTGGAAGTATTTAGCTTGCACCATGAGTCTTAAAGGCAGGCGTTTCTCACTGGACAGCTCTGCGTGAGTAGTACATATTTTTCCCTATCTTGCTTTTATTATGTTATGTTCCTTCAGTCCCTTTTGTGTTGTTCCAAAGGGAAACACTTCTCTTGTACTTTGTTCAAGCTGTCCTCAATTCTTTGTATAATATTTGTATATATATAAATATATACACTTTAAGCACCAGCCGTGCACACTGATATCTCCAGTGAAAGTAGCTGCTGGTTTACAAAAGGGAAACCACTCTCTGGAGATCCCTGCTGTTGCTGTGAGACTGCAGACTAACTTCACTTCTAAACAGATGACAATTAGCCCATGCATTGGCAGAAAGTCAATACAGCTGGTATTAAAAAAAGAAGTTCGGAGCTAGTTTAACTTTTACATAAAATAACTTCTCAAACTGAAATAGTAGATTGGATGTAGAAACAAACAAGAACAGTTTATTCACTTCTTCTACCATTATACTCTGTTACACTCTGTGGATGTGTTATGTCATTATTTATATTATATCTGTGGAAATTGACTGCATTTACTGTGGAAGATCAGACTCTACCTGATGAAAACAGTTTGACACTGTTGACCACAACATATTACTAGACCGACTGGAAAACTGGGTGGGTGTTACGTTCCCTCTTTGCTAGGGGTAAGAAAGGGAAACGACACGACCAGTTTGTAATTGGTATTGGTTACCGGTGGGTTTATTTATGACGGCAACTGAACAAAACAATGATAAACACACGAACAGCCTGGACCAACAACGGACCAAACTGTTATGGGTTAACAACACAGGACTCCAAAAGAGAGTTGCACAGTAGGCTACAAAAGAAAGAACGTACCTCACTTCTAAAGTGGAACAAAACACTAAACAAAAGGAGACTGTGTGGAAACACAGCTGTTGCTGATCAACCGGTGCTAATCACCGGGGTCTAAGCAATATACACAAATGCTGATCTACAGGCGCTAAACTAACCTGGGTCTAAGCTGTTTCACAATGTCACTAATCTAAATGCGGGTCTACAGGAGCTAAGCAACCTGGATCTACGCAACACACACACACAAACCCTACTCTAAACACAGAATACCACGACACACTGCTAACCAGTGAGATCGCACAGAACCCTACAGAATATACTGCTAAGCAGTCTAACAGAATCACAGGAGGAAGGCTTTGTCACAAGTAGAGGGTTGAGGCAGCTGTCACAAAATACAGGGCCTCCAGACGGATGTTCGTGCCCAGCCTTTATCCTCCTCCCCCGGATTACGTGGCAGCAGCGGGCAGGGCTTGAGTGACCTCTGTCCAATCCCCGCGAATGTTGCGCGGTCGGGACGGCCACTGACAGCATCGGAAGGCACAGCTCATTTGCATACACACAATGTTAAAGGCACAAGGTAGCAGCGGCTGTAACAGTGGGACTTTCGGAAACAGTTCTAAATTGGTTTGAATCCTACTTAAAGGACAGAAACAACTTTGTTTCTAGAGGTAAATACACATCTGAGTTGACAAATATGACATGTGGGGTACCTCAAGGCTCCATCTTGGGGCCTCTTCTCTTTAACGTCTACATGCTACCACTGGCTCAGATAATGAAGAACAACCAAATAAGTTACCATAGCTATGCAGATAACACACAAATGTACGTAACAATTTCACCAGGAGACTATGCTCCAATTCAAACACTGAGTAAGTGCATTGAACAAATCAATGACTGGATGTGTCAGAACTTTCTCCAATTAAACAAAGATAAAACTGAGGTAATGGTTTTTGGAGCCAAGGCAGAACGGTTCAAAGTTAGCGCTGAGCTTCAGTCTGCAATGTTCAAAACAACAGATAAAGCCAGAAATCTAGGTGTAGTCATGGACTCTGACCTGAGTTTCAACAGTCACATTAAAACAGTTACTAAATCAGCCTACTATCACCTAAAGAACATATCTATGATTAAAAGACTAATGTCACAGCAGGATTTGGAACAACTTGTCCATGCTTTTATCTTCAGTAGACTGGACTACTGTAATGGTGTCTTCACAGGTCTCACTAAAAAATATTTTAGAAAGCTGCAGCTGATTCAGAACGCCGCTGCTCGAGTCCTCACTAACACTAAGAAAGTGGATCACATCACTCCTGTTCTGAAGTCTTTACACTGGCTTCCTGTGTGTCAAAGAATATATTTCAAAATACAGCTGCTGGTTTATAAAGCACTGAATGGTTTAAGCCCAAAATACATTTCTGATCTTCTGCTAAATTATGAACCATCCAGATCTCTCAGGTCTTCAGGGACTGGTCAGCTTTCTGTCCCCAGAGTCAGAACTAAACATGGTAAAGCAGCGTTCAGTTATTATGCTCCAAATATCTGGAACAAACTCCCAGAAACCTGCAGGTCCGCTGCAACTCTGACTACTTTTAAATCCAGGCTGAAGACTTTTCTTTTTGTCGCTGCTTTTAATTGAACTATTCATATCTTAGACTGCACTGTAACTTTTATCCATGTACTTTTTCTTTTAATGTTTAATTGAACTATTCATATCTTAGACTGCACTGTAACTTTTATCCATGTATTTTTTCTTTTAATGTTTATTTTATTAGCTTTTCTTTTTAATGACTGATTTTAAATGCCATTTTCTTAATGTCTTTCATTTTTTGTAAAGCACTTTGAATTGCCTTGTGTTGAAAATTGCTATATAAATAAACTTGCCTTGCCTTGCCTTGAACATTAGGAAATGTTTACCATCATCCTGCTAGGGTTGTTATCTCTGTGAAGTCTGAAAAACCAACATGTGTATTCCTTTGCGTTTTATCTTTACTTTATGTTCTATGTTTGTTCCACCTGTGTGCGTCACATAAAAGCTGCATCTGTCTGACATTTAACTCCTGCTCTCCTGGGACAGTAACCTGGACGGATTGGGTCTCCTTGGCGGAAGAAGAGGCAGCAACAGGTTTAGCAGTAAGAAATCTAGCCACAACTACACTCGGTATGATGCCCCACTGAACATCCAGGAGCTAAAAGACAGCATCAACTCCAACATGTACATCAGGTATATTCTGCCTTCAAGTAACACTACTCACGGATTAAGAACAAAACGTAAATGTTATACTTGTACCTAGAAAAAGTCCTGTTATGTTATCTGATTTTTTGTTTTGGTGCATGTTTCCTGTTTTTGTCATCAGGGATCCTATCACAGAAGAGAATAACATTGATCGAACAGATGACTTTATCAGCAACATTGTAAGTCCGCTTCACATCCTTCTTCTTCCTGTTGCCTGCAACAACCATGTTTTATATACACATGTTACAATATACTAACTGGAACATAAACAAGGTTAAGATCCTGAAAAGATACCACTGTTTTGCACTCACTGATTAGAAAGGGAAGGATGAGCAGAGGGTTGCAATCTGCAACCTCACCACTATATGTCACTAAGTCATACCTGTACATTCAAATCCACTTTACATTACAAGCATTGTGCCAAACAGCAGACAGACACAGAGACAGACAGATAGCGTAGCTAGATAATAAATGAGCAATTACTCACAAGTTTGCCATATCAACTATAGAGCTGATGATATGTCACTGTCAACTTGTTTTCGCTGCTACTAGGGATTTAAAACACCAAACCTGCTTGTTATATTGTTTTTTATTAACATACATCCCTCGCTGCACATTTCTCCCTACAGAGCTTCCTGAAGCACAACAAAACCTTCCACAAAATGTTCCCAGACATCCCTGAAAAGGAGAACCTTACACACAGTGAGTCTGTTACTTGTTCCTGGATATTGATTATGGAAATGACATCACGCTGTGACCTTTTTTCACTTTGTCCCTGCTGTGTGATGAAGTGCTGGCCCATACTTTGTTTGCCAAGTGATGCACAAAGAATGGGAAACTGAAACACTTTAGTACATGATTCTGCAGGCATGTCGGTTGTCAAGGTGCTGGGTTGTTTTTAAATTGGAGAAACACTTATCTTACTACAAATGTCTTTGTGTCTATTGTAGCATTCTCCTGTGCCTTGCAGAAGGAGGTGCTGTATCATGGAAAACTCTATGTATCTGAGAACTATGTGTGTTTCCACTCGTCAGTGCTGCTCAAAGACACCAAGGTAACGTGCTCAGACATATTTAAATATAGCGTTATTCACACGTTAACACTGAACTGTCATAAAAATGGTGGCACCACTTGGGTTTTCTGAATTTGTTCACAAAAAAGTCAGTCCAATTAAACCATGTGTTTAATTTTGAGTAATATTTCACTGTTGTAGAAGGAACAGTCAACATTAACATTTGTTATCCTGGGAATTACCATAATCATCCATAGTTCAGGTCAACCAGAGATTAGGTTTTAAAACATCTGCAATGTCCTCTTTAAGGCTGTAAAGGCAACAAGAATCAAATATGTCTACATATTGCAGGTGGTGATTCCTGCGTCGAGCGTCTTGCGGGATAAAGAAAACACAACTCGGTTTATCCATGTTGTCTATCCAAACTGCTGATGGAGATAAGGTCAGCATACACACTTTAACATATCTGTCTTTTATTATTTTGCTTCACTTTCTTTCTTTATTGCAATTTTGAGCTATACAAATATAGTTTTTTTTACAGATGTATAGTTAATTGTGCAGTTGAAAGTTGGATGGAAGCCAATAGAAACAGATTTCATTATTACATTTGAATGCCCATCTCCAAAACTTGGGGCTCGTTTAGGGACAGTGCTAAATACATGATGTACAAATGATTTAGTAAGCAAAAATGCTAATTAACATCTGTGGTCCTAACACAATTCCGTTTGCGCCATGATCAACCCTTTCTCCTGCCTCTTTGTCTTCTTTTTTAGTGCACCTTTGGGTCTTTGTGGAACCGTGAGATGTGTTATCAACTCCTCCAAACCGTCTGTTCACAGGAACAGGTAGGAACTCTAAATCTCCATCATTTCTTACAAAGAATCAAATAAAACCAGTCAAACCTTTCATTTTCAGTTCAAGCTCATGCGTCTGTGTTTGTCTGACACAGGATAAGAACTTGAACGGCAGCTCTCATGTCTCCTCTGCAGATAATGAAGCTGACCATGACGTGGTATGTTCGCTGCTTATCTAATGCAACCAAACAAAGAGTTTCATGATGCACGACAAGTCTTTTACCTTCAGCCTCTCTGTCCTTGTCTACAGGCCTCCGGTTATTCCAGTTTGGAGGACAGCGTAGATCATGATCGGGGCAGCGAGGACAGCATTTATCTGAACAATGACCTTCCTCACATGTCCAGTGAAGGTGAGAAACATATGACAGGGAGAAGTGACGAGTAAACATCACTGGTTGATATTGCTTAGTTTGGCTCTTGTATGTAGCAGAATAATGTTAATCTCCTTCCAATAATGCAATTTTCTATTTAGCATGATAATATTGAAACTGTTCTTAACCACTGAATGAAACAACGTACTGTATATTGGTGACTTTCAGGATCTACAAAAGGCAATTCCACCAGTCAGAACAGCACAGAGGGAGATGGCACAGGTAGGGGCCCACACCATTTTTCTTTTTTTATTTCTTCCGCTCATTATAATGCACAACTCCAGAAGGAAAAAAAAGAATTCAAACTGACAACCCTTTTTATTTGTATTACATGACTAACACAGAGCAAGGGGAATATCTTATTTGAACATGAATAACAGTAGAAATACTCTCTTCTCTCTTTTACTTTTTGCCCTATATGTAACTAATAATGTTTGTATCTCAACTACATTTTCATGTTTGAAAAGTCCTAACTTAATAACAAGTCTCATCAACACAGTAACTAAACTATTGCAAAATAAGTGAGGATTACAGAATTATTCTTGTCTCTTAATCTAATACACATATAGTGCTTTATTCAAAACGAAACAGAAAAACCTTTGTTTTGACTGTGCTATTAGATAATGTTCAGTCAGTTTATCATCTATTACCCATAGGGTATAATAGACATTGCCAATAAAAAATAACAAGCTGATTTCTCTCTCCAGCAGCAGTACGGTGGATTTGGAGGATCGCTGAGAGTGTCGTTCCACTCTTCTTCCTCAGAGAAATCAGGGATCTCAGCGCTCTCTTTTATGTCTTCGTATTACTGTGAGTATTAATATTAAACACACACTTAAGATACATTTAGATAGATAGATAGAATCGGGAGGGATGAAACCCTCTTTAATGGTCACACATGCAGAGCACACAGCACACACAGTGAAGTGTGTTCTCTGCTTTTAACCCATCCTAGTACCAGGAGTCTAGTACTAGGAGCAGTGGGCAGCTAGTGTACAGCGCCCGGGGAGCAATGGGAGTGGGGGATGTCCGGTGCCTTGCTCAAGAGCACCACGGTCAGCAGGGCAGGAGGTGAACTGGGACCTCACCAAGTAGCAGTCCACACTCCATATTTAGGTCTAGTCGGGGACTGATCATATTATTTTAACTTGTAATTAAGTATTTTTAAGATGCGAATTCGCTACTTTGACTGAAGTAAATAATCTCCATAATAGTGTTTAGTAAAACCTGTTAAAGGAAAAAATTAAAAGATGGCCGCTGAGGATCAAGGAACTTTTATTCTTTAAGCTTGGACTTTTAAAGATAACTAATAGGCTCTAAAATAAACATTGTTCAACTAAATATGGATGAACAGAGAAACATTTTGGTATGTTGACTCTCTGGATTGGCCTCAAGCTCTCAGGAGAATACAATAATTTAATCTTGGAGATATTTATTGAAATGTTATAACACATTGTTCACACAGAATCTATGTACTGTTATCTTGTTGTTAGGCCTCTTAAGTATGTAACCATCTGAGACCGTTTGCTCACTTTCTGCCCAAGGTAAAAGTGCATTGTAATTGTGAGTGTACATTCCAAGGCATTTAAGTCTTTATTGTGTGTTTGCAGGATGATGCTGCTGCTCTTGGCGTCTGGGTACATGGGGCTGAAGATCATCGCTTTGGAAGAGCAGCTGACTCAGCTGTTTTTCCAACACAGAGAGTACGTAATCACAGAAATACAGAGGCGTGTTCAGAGAAAGACCTGGTCTGGTGGGAAAAAAGGCGAGATGGCTCAAACCAGTTTTTTAAAACGTTAAAATCCATTATACTTAGATCAGATTAGACGCGAAAAGTCGTTCTGCAGGTTCACCACCGCAGCGTGGACAAAAGATAAGTGATTACATCTGAGTCACACGCAATGAAGTACAGCTGAAGGTGTCGGAATGTACTTACTGCTTGAATCTTTCCATTTCCTGCTTCCTACTACATTTCAGAGAATACCTGTTTTACTTTGACAGATCCAGATTTGCATAAATACCGTCAGTGGTGAAGCTACTGTATGTACCTAAGCACAATGTTGTTGCTTTAGTTATTTCATTTATTATATTAATTAGATATCAGATATTTTAATTTTGACTTCAAATAGGTTATAATTAATATAATTATTATAGAATTTGCCACCCAGCACCTACCTTTGCAAGCTGCAACATAGAAGCGACTCTGTCAATACTTACTTTGGCAGTTGAAATATACTATATAAATATAGTTTTAAGATAATATTTTTGCACTTTTACCTAAATAATATGTTTACCTGTAGTGTAGTATTTCACTCTGTGGTATTCGTACTTTTACTCAAGTAAAGAAACTCAATTCTTCTTCCACCATTGCATACCATGTGATGAACAAAATGTGATGCATTTTCTCAAAGATTAAGTTACCACACTCAAATGCTGCTTACTCAACGACGCCTCTATGCTTAAAGCCACTGTGATAACTTAAGTAGGCCTATATTGCTGATCAAAACCGATTTTACTTTTGTATTATTTTAAGTGAATTGTATTAATATGGTGCTACTTAAACTTAGTTAAAGGATTAGTGCTTTCTCCACTGCAGACCTCTCCTCATGCAGCTTCCTCTTTGTTTGCAGGTACCAGCTAACGTAGCCAAAGGCAGGTTACAGACACTTCCAGGAGGTCATGCAGTTGCACCACTCTCTTAACATCCTGTCATACACACAAACATTGATCCCTGTCTAAATAGGCTCCCAAAAGCATCTTAGTTTTTGACACGCATGCAGCTTTTAGTAGAATTTGCAATATCGTGCACAAACAAATGCTCTTTCAGTGGAGATTGATCTTCTGTGTCATGTTTGCAGAGAAAGCAGGTCAGCAATAAGATGCTTTTGGGATGTCTGAACAGGCCACACGGGGTGCACTACACGGATGACTGACTGTGCTGGCAGAGAAGCACCAGGCCAATATTTCTGTTAGACGAGCACACTTATTCTGTGCTGACAGATCAAAAACTGCAGTGAGGCTCTCCTGCACGGAGCCATATGGAGGCAGCCTGCTGAAGTCATATTTGTTTCCTGTCCGGTGAACTCGCTGAGCTCAGCGAGCTGCAGTTGCATGAGTCTTGGCTGCAGTTTTTCTGGATCAACACAACCTGCAGCAGCGGGAACAAACACAGTGAAACAAGCACTTTATTTTTGCTTGGTATTAAATATTTGTTATGTTATGATAGTTCACATTGTGTAAGTTCACTACTGGAATCTAGTGACATGTTTCAGAATAAAGACTGTTAGTGACAAGAATCCGCCAGCAGAGGGCAGTCACTCCCATTAAACTCCACTGTGAAGCACCAAGGCAGGATTTCACTTGCACTTATAAATGTAGGCACTGTTATTTCTTTTAAGAACAGTTTTTATAAAAAACCTTTGCTCTGGAATTGTTGCCATATCAGTCCTGTTGATAGATGTTTAAAAATATGTGATTCGAGAAATGTTGGCCAAATGATCTTTAAAACCATTTTTATGACCACACATGTGAAATCTGTGTAAACATAAAAACACAAACATATATTTGGTTACATAAGGGAAAGGAGGTGGGCTCTAACATTGTGTGATTTGAAAAAAATATCCAAAGTGTAATGTTTAATTCTGAAAATAATATTGAACTATTCCCATACAATATTGTCAAACAGGGTGTATACAGGATTTTAATAACTGTATTGTATAGCTGTGTATATATGTATCTATTCCATCTGTGAAGAGATGTTTTTAGTAAGTAATGATTATAGTATATTGTGATTTTAAACCCAATCTCACTTCTGTCAAATATTGCAATATTTTGTATCACTGTATACCAGATGTCCATACTTATGAATGTATGCGCTGTACAAAAAAAGGTTGTTTTAAAAACAAAAGTCAGTTTCACGTTTTTGTACATAAGTGATCTTTTTTATTATTTTGTTGTCCATAAAAAGGTCAAGATTCAGTCCCATGAATTAATATCATTACATCATATTCTCAGTTCAAAAAAGCAACATAAAATTACAAAGAATAGAATAGGTAAGTACAGTAACCATATAAACAGCCCACTAATATTGTCTAGCCCCTCCCCCCTAGCACTGCCCCGCTCAAACTCTAGCACAAAACTCATAACAATACATCAGTTAGTATCAGCAATACAAAAATTCAAATAAAAGTCCCGTTTTTTTTTTAAAGCGCTTCAATGTTCCAATGCCATGAGTTCAGCTTTACCCTCACATAGAATACATAATAGAGATAACGTCCCACTTGCTCTGCAAAACACAATAGACATGCATACAGTTTTCACTGTTCAACCCCCCCACCCCCATCAATACACATTCAGGGCCAGAGGATACAATATAATAGTGGTGCATCAATAAAACGGCGAGTCTCCGCCCCGTTTCTTGAACCCCATGAATGAAAGGTGGATCCAGTGGTTTCCCTGATAACACGCCCGGTCCAGGAAAGAAACTGATACCTACTTCTGCTTCCAGAGAGAGGCCATAACTCTCAGTTTCTTCTGACAGCTCAGATCCCTGGTCCACAATGGTAACAGTTTTCCATTATTTAAATATCGAAGACACAAAGTACAGGATGAGAATGAAAAGATTCCCTGTTCGAAGTGATGACAGGAAGCTAGTGGCCTTCACTAAGACCCACTTGTACTCCCACAATGGAGCAATCAGATCAGTGCTAGTTCAGTACATGTTCCCTTAAAAAAAACGCAGCTACTACCACTGAAACTGATGCGTCTCCTATGCAGCGGACACCTTGTGGAGATCTGAAAATGCGGCGCAAGTCTGCGACATTTGAGACCAGACCAGTACTTGTTTTCGTCTACACACAGGGTCTTTTACTAGTTATGATGCGAGTATTCTTAATGCTGGCCTGTAGAAGACAGTCAATAATAATAATGAAGACACACAAACTTACATTTTATACCCTTATTACACTTTGGATGCTTTGTACAATAGTGCTGAACTTAAGACCTGCTTTTGTCATGCTTGATCTGATATAAATGTGTAAATGTACTGTATACTACAGTACATGAACTATGTGTGCGCGCGTGTGTGTGTGTTGTGTTTGAATGTGTGTGTGTATGTGTGTGCGATGATGTGCAAAGGTGTGTGTGGTGGAACCTGCACCACACCAACAGTGAGAGGCTCAAATTATGGCTTGTGTCAGACATGAAGCGTGCTGCCACCCATAAGAGAGCTCCTGTACATTTAGGGCCACAGAGGTTACACAGAGCTATTAGTAGACGTGATGTCCCGTCCTGGCACCTGACCCTAAACACATCGTTAGTCCTAACATCTACATGCATGGTTCTGAGACAGATCGTCCACGGCCCCACACTACATCAAACAAGTTCGGATTAATTACATCAAGACAAAAACGTTAGAAACAAATGTGCATTATGAACGGGAGGCGGACTAACCCTGGTGACGAGAGCTACCGGAGCAAGAAATGGAAAACAAAACTGTGCTGTAAGACTACAAGTTAACCAGCAACACACATAAGAGATTCTGGTGGAGCAAAAATATTATTCTGAATAAATCACACTTAATCCTCATTAGTTTGGTTACCTCCGCAGCTACTTTTATCTCCTTAAACCGTTAGAAATCTAGCCAGAACATCAATCTCTAAAAGGGTACGGTCACCAAAAGAGACTATAATTATTCACACACCTCCACAGTGGCACTTCAGACTTAACGGTGGAGTTAACAATTCTGGAAACACACTTATTTGCTCTATTGCCGAGGGTTAGATGAGAAGATTGATTCGACTCATGTGGCATGTAAGTACGCTTAAGGTCAAAGCTCGTTAGCTTAGCATAAAGTCATGAAACAGCTAGCCTGGCACTGTACAAATGTAACAAAATCCACCTGCCAGCACCACACAAATTAATAAATAAACATGCTGTATCTTGTTAGTGTAATCCACAACAACAAAAATGAAATGTTGCTGTATGCGAGGTTATGTGCACGACGATTTCTTGTCCGAGTAAGCCCAGTGGTATAAATCTTCTCATCTAATTTCAGCGACAAACAGAATATCTAACTATAACTTCCTACTTGACATTTATCCTGCTGTTACAAAGTCAGCGCTGTCTGTCCAACCTTTAAACGTCACACATTAGTAAATGCTGAAGGGCTACAGCCTTCTTTTTAAAGCCAAACCATCTACATGGGACATGGAAATGACTAAATTATCCTTCACTTCTATGTGTTCTAAAATGCCAGAGATACTATCAATGTGGCTCTAAAAGACCCGTTTCCATTTATACCACACCGACGTCTCTATCACAAATATGAAGGACCTGATGGGGGGGGAAATCAATACAGGAAGTAATTCCCTGTACGGTTCTGCTGCAATTCTGTGAACAGGTAAAGGCAAAAGCTACAGCACAGCCATGAAATAAAGTGGAAGCCATTCTGGGATCTTTTCAGTGAGAAATTAGGGAGAGGAAAGTATGCGAAACCCAACAGCCATATAAGCCATGCCAGTATTCCAGACTAGTCCTTTTGTTTCTCCGTAACTGACACCAAAGGGAAGGAGATGGACCCCCAAACCACACAAATAGAAGTAGGTTAGTGTTAGCTGGACAACAACTTGGAAAATGCTCTGGCAGTCACATGGATGTCTATTAAAAAGGTAAACAGGAAGTGGGGGAGTGGGAAGGGGGGGGCAGGGCACATGCTTGACCAGTGTTTGTCCACTGCAGAGAGAACTGGTCAAGCTGTGGAGGTATTCTTCATACACACACGCAACAAAAAAAACATCAAATTGATAAGTCTCAATAAGCTTCCTCCACCTGTCCAAGTCATCAGGATGTCCTTCATTTCTTTCAGCACTGCTTCACACACACACTCACACACACAAACATGTCCATGGAGATATGAATAAACACTCAACCCTTATATCCATGACTCGTTCATTCAGTAACACGTTATAATAAAAAATTACATCTGTGTGCCTTTCTGGACAAAGCACATTGTTGTTACTTCCTAATTCATGTTAGTGACTCCTTTCAAAGCTGCAATTCATAAATGCCCCCAAGATAAAAAACTGATTTGTGAATTTGTTCAATCTTGGTTCTTGTTTTTAGCATTTCACCACCTAGCTACTGATATATTTAAAACCGTTCTCACCCGAACAGGAAATCTTTTAAACATATGTTGTGTTGAAAAGTAACTTAAAGGTGTGCTGCTTCAAAGACACACAGATGTGACAAAATATCACACACCGTTTTAGGTCAACTTCTCACACATACTTTGCAAACATGCCGACGTTCACACACACACACAATCTCATTCACACTAGCGCAGAGAGGCTGCCGCTTGTTTCTCAGGCGTGCTGCGCAGCCAGGTCCTGGTTGATGAAGCGCCGTAGCCTCTCCAGGTACTGACTGTAAAGCTCAATGTCGTTGTGCCCGGCTCCCTCCACCCAAAGGGGCTCCACGGCCTTGGGGCAGCGCTCAAACAGGGCCAAGCCGTGAGAGAAGTCGATCACCTCGTCCTCTGTACCGTGGATGATGAGCACTGGAGACGGGATCTTTGACACTTTCTCTATGCTGCAGGAGAAATTAAGGAGGCGATTATTGCGCTACCCAGGCCATTTGAGAAAAAGGGGTATTTTTTCAGTATTGACCATCAATGACATAGATGGCATGCTGCCACTTAAGTGCTCAAATCTGTCTTTTCATGTGTATAAAAAATAGAAATACATCTTGATATATCGAACTATCCAGAAATGTTATTTTTAAAAAAAATTCTCTAGATAAAATATCAAATGGGAAGATGTGTTTTTGGCTAATCAAGCCTGACTAATCAAGGTTCCTCGTCACATTTGCCGCAAAAACCCCAGAGAGTAGCTGTTGCCAAGGTAACACCAAATGGGGATCCAAATAAACAAAGTCTTGTTAACCTATTATTACCATCAAGCAGACCTACTCAGTGATACAACCAAAGGGATTTATATTGCCTCACGTTATCTCCACGTTACCCAACCTTTCTCCTTCTCCAGATAGGTATCAGACACGTTCATGCACATTTTCATATTTCTTTTTAAAGCGATACATTGTAACTTTCCGAGTTTCCTACTTAAAACAGCCCTTAAGGAAACACTTACTTAGGGAAGGCATCGAAGCAGTATGTTTTCTTGGTGTCGGGGAAAGCCACTCTCATGCCCGAGGTAAGAGGGGAGTGGAGGACAACAGCTGCACACTCAAAACGTGACGCCAGGTCCACTGTGGGCACCGTGCCGATGCTCTGTCCGTACAGGATGATATTCTCAGGGCTGATGCCATAGCTGAGACAACACAGACACACATAAACATTTCAGTACAGAACAATAAACAAGATGAAGGACTCATGTGTGCTGTAAAGATTTCCATATGCAGATGAGTGCAGTATCTCTTTCAGAGTGTGTTTCCTGTAGAAGAAAGCAGTTGGATAGCTGTTTGGATAAACAGACAGTTGTATTAAAAGAGAGTCATTTAAAAAAAATCAATATTAGTTAAAGTGTACTCTATATTAAGAATATTTTTGCCACTTAAGCTTGCTGTAAGACAGCTCTTTTCTGCTGAATACTGAAGCTGTTATATATTTAAAAAAACAGCAATTTGACCTGACAAAACACAGAAGTTGCTTATCTAACACTGAATTGATTGGGTACTTTGTCTTACTGTGTGACTTCGGTGAATCTAAACTAAACTTTAAAAACATTATAGTCCCACAATAACACAAGAAATGAACCAATGGAGGCAGCGAGAGATTAGCAACTTCCATGTTGTGCTTAAAATAATGTTTTTGGCAAAGGAGTCTGGCGATTATGAAGACGGCCCTGTCGGAAAGGGCTGTCAAACAGTAGTGGAAAAATATTCTAAGACTAG